TTAATATCCTTATTTTTAGAGATGTCTAATTCTTGTAAATCTCGCAAATCTTCTAAAAATTCCAACTTTCCATTAAATTTGTTGTTACTTATTTTTAAAATTTTTAGTTTGGGAAAACTCCCACAGCAATATAAATCTTCTGAAAACTCGTTGTTTTGCAAGTTGAGTTCAACAAGTATCTTCTTGTTGCCTTTATTGGATAAGAAATCTGAATTGCTAAGTGAATTATTACTCGCATCGAGTTTAGTGAGCCTCAAAGATTTACCTAAAGTTAAATTGGTTAATTTATTACCAGAGCAGTTAAGTTCTTTTAAAGTTGAACATTTGCTTACATCAATACTAACTAACTCTTTATTGTTTATAACAGTTAAACTAACTAATTTTTCTTGATTACCTAAAATTAATTTAGTCAATTTAAACTCTAAAAATTCTCCATTAATTACCACTTCTTCTAAATTAGGATATTCAGTTAGGTTTAAAATGCCTCCATTAATTTTTTCAACTTCTTCTTTGCTTAAATTAGGTCCAGCGTGAAACTTGTCATCTTTTCTTTCAATAATAATTTTTTTTAATTCTTCTTTTTTGTCTTGGCCAAGATAATTTTTATCTAATCACTTTTGCAAAGTATCAATTTCTTGTGTATTTTGATTATTTGTGTCGTTTGAAGTTGATGAGTTATTTGAATTATTATACATATTTTCTTAATTTTTCTTTTATTCTCACAATTACTACTTGGGCTTTCAAGCAAATTATAACAAATTAGGTAGCGATTAGTTTTTATAGTTATTCTAATTTGCTATTTCTATCGTTCTGACCATAGGCAATTTAATATTTTTTCTTATTTTTACTTTTTCTTACTAAAATCACTACTAAACCAATTAAAACTACTCCAATTATTCCTAGACTAATATAAAGAGCAGTTTTATTACCTTTACTCTTATTATTTTCATCAGTAGAATTGTTATCTTTGCCTTTTTTCTCCAAATCTTCCCTAGTAAGGGTATTATTACCACTTTTTTGGATATAGTCTTTTATGGATTGTAATTGTTCAGCATTTAGTTCTTTTTCTTCTTCTTTATGAATGTATTTGATTAGTAGTTTATTGCCTTTCATTTTGATGGATTTGATATTGTTTTGTTGGAAGTAAGATAAAATTGTCTCTCTCTCTCTCTCTCTCTCTATGGTGTTGTTTATATTTCTTTCTGAATCATCCAAATCTTCCTTGTCTTTTCCTGCTACTTCAGTCATTCCCTCCACTAAATCATCCATGTTTTTATCTAATCTTTTAAAAGTTTCTTCTCATTCTCTATCTTTTTTCCTTTCTTCGGCTTCTTCTTTTAATTTTTCTTGATGACATTTAGAACATAAAGTTCCAGTTTTATTTATGCCATCACTATAATAAGTTTGAGCATAACCAATTGCTTTGCCGTTTGAATAACTAGTGCATTTTTCTAAGCAATTATCACAAGTTTCTGCATAATGTTGGTAATAACAATTATCAGAGCAGAATTTTTGGTTATCTTTTTGCTTTTTATTGTATTTATATTTACCCTCATAGAGTTCTTTATTACATTCTGCACAGCAGAAGTAGTTTTTTTTTGTGTCATTTTTCAAAGTGTGCTTCTGAACAAAATAAATACTCTTTTTTATAAGGGTCAGCGCTTCTTTTTCTAGATTTTAGTTCCTTAGATTTGGTGCTGTAAATGTAGTGAATAGTTGGGGGTTTAGATTTGCAGTAAGAGCATCGGGAAGATTTTAATTGATAGTCCTTTTGTTGTTGTTCTTTTTGGGTTTGAGATTTGATTTTATCAAGTTTATTTCGAGTTTCTTCCTCTATCCTCTATTTTCTTTAGTTTGTCGACTTGCTCTTTATATTTATCTATTGTTTCTTCTTTATTGAGCAAAATTCCCCTTGAGCGAATGAATTTTAGAACTTCAGTTAAAGTGTTGAGATTAGATTCGTGTTTATTTTTTAAACCAAAAAGCACTCTATGTTTATCCTCTAAATTAGCAACTTTCTCAACTTCTTTTATTTCTTTTTTAATCTCTCTTATTATAATGCTATTTACATCGCCGCGAGGAAAATAATTATTGAATGTTATTTGTGCTTCGTTTATGTCCATGCTATCACAAAATTTTTAACCTATATTATAATTTTACAAAAAAACTATACTCAACTTGGATATTTTTAAAAAATTTATCTATTGCTTTCATTAAGCACAAGTTTATTTGTTTTTGTGATCTTTCAAAATTTTATAACAAGCGTAAACAGCACACATAATCAAAATATTTTCTAAGGTTAAGTAATCTCAAATTCAATGACTATCGTTTAAGTTAGAGAGAGTTCCAGAAATGACTGAATTATTGTCTTTTATTCTCTTGGTTAATGTTTTTATCGTTTCAGAAATGTTTTTGCCATTGTTTCTAAGAGTAAATATTTCATCTTCATATCCTTTTGCTTTATTTCTTCAAAATATTCTTTCTTCTTCATTAAGATTAGGATTATTTGATTTACCTTTGGCTTCTTGGGCTTTTTTTTCTAAATCTCTAATCTTGTTTTCATTTTCTTCATAATTCTTTTTCATTTCATCAATCTCTTTCTGAGCTTTTTCGTTATCTTTCTGAGCTTGCTCAATTGATTTACCTTTTAAGGCCAATCTTTCTTTTTGTCTTTTGGAGTTTTTGCCGTAAGCATCAGCAGCCTTTTTGGCACAGTAACAGGTTCCGCCAATGGCTGCTAATCAACAGCAGGCTTTAATGGCTAATGGTATTAATAGTGGTAATGGCATAATTTTTTATTTCTTCTTTGTTTTTTTAATTTCGTTTAATTGGTTAGTTAATTCGGTTAGGGCAAGGGTGTATTTTTCTATTTCTTGGCTTCAGAAGGTTAGAATAGATTGGATGTCTTTTATTTTGCTTTCGATTAGTTTTATTTTTTGTTGCTTAGTCATATTTTACTTTATTTCGGATACTATCAGTCTTATTTGTTCTAGGCCATTTTCGATGGTTTCAGTGCAATTGTTTCTATCTTCTCGGGCTTGGTTCTTAATTTCTTCGGCTGTTTCTGCGAGTTCTCTTAACTTTGTGCCGATTGATTTGCTAATTTGATTAGCGGCTAAAGTAAGATGAGTTCTTACTACTTGTTCTATTTTTGGTTGTCGGGGATTGATAAATTTACCTTCAAAATATTCTAATTGCTTACTATCAAATAATCTCCAAAAGAATTCGAACATTTCACCTCATTTAATCTTAATTTTTTTGTCTTCTTTTTTATTTTCATCATCATCATTGTTATTATTATCATTTTCTTCATCCTTTTCTGGCTCATATTCAGCATTAAGATTACTGGCAATAAATTTTCTTCAAAAAGGAATAAAATCATTATCAAAATACATTTTATTAAACCTATTTACTCATTTATTGTCTTCATCATTGAGAGTGTTAACATCTATTCAGTGTTGAGGAAAATCATTAGTAATATTGGCTTCTTCCGCATATCTTATAAAATCTCCTAGTGTCCAACTAAAATCTAAGGGATTACTTAGTCTTCCCGGTTGATAAACAGCTTCATTAATTTGGTCTAAATGATTAGTAGCGGCAATTCAGAGATTTTTGCTTTCATTTATTCTATTATCACTACCCATACACTCTTTGAGGAATGTTAGTTCAGTAGATTTAGAAATTAAGGTGCTAGTAGTTATTTGATTAGCCTCATCTATGAAAAGAATATAACGAACTTCGCCGTTTTCTTCTCTTCGAAAATTAAAATCATCAGTTAAAGTGTGGTCAATATCACAAAGTGTAAAAATAAACTTTCCTAGTGGAGCAATACCGGCATCATAATCAATTTTGCGAGGAGTTAAACTTGAGCCTTGAATTACTATTAAGGGATACATATCTGCTTCATAAGCCAATTTCTCAGCCATGACTGATTTACCAGTTCGGGGTGCTCCATAAAAAAGAGCATTATTATCTAGTCTAGTAGTAGGATCTCTTTCACCTCTGGTTGGATTTATTTTTGCTTTCTTTTCTCATTCTTCGATTAAAGTGCTGAATTTATAAGTAGGAACATCGCCTCCGAGTTTGAGTTCTTCGGCTTTTTTGTGTCTTTTTTCTTGGTCACTCAAATCATTTCAAAGAGAAGGAGGAAAAAGAATTTTATAAGAAGCAGCAATATTAAAACGTTCTGGTTCTTTTCCCATTATTTCTTTCATCTTAGATCAGGCTTGTTCGAAAGTTTGGATGTTATCAATTAGTCATTTATCTGCTCAACTGCTCTTTTCTTTTTTCCTCCGCCAATGCAATCCTTGCTTTTTTACTCTCTCTTCAACAATCAATTCACCGGCTTCTCTCAGTAAAGTAGAGATATCATTTCCGTTTGAGTTGTTAATTTTCCGAGAATACTTTTCAATTATTTTTTTAATGGCTGGTTGGGTCTTTTCTTTTTCATTACAACTATCTTCTAATTCTTTAACTGCTGAATCTTTAGCCTCTTGTATACTCCTAAACTTTTTTTCCTCTATATCCTTTTTCTTAGTTTCTATCGCCTCTATCATACTCTCTTTAAACTTATTAATCTGAGTAGGTAAATATAACTTATCTAAATAGTTTTCTCATTTCTTCTGCTTTTTCCACAAATTACTATCTAAATCAGTAGCAACAACCGGAGAATTATTATTAAAAGCATTGGTAATTTCTTTTTTAGTGCTACTTCTTTGCTCGGGTAAGAAAAAGAAAAAATAATATCCCATTCCTACTACACCAATAATAAGTAGCATTTGGAGTTGCTCTTGCTCCTTATTGTCACTTGTATTTTCTTCGGTGCCAAAGTTATTTCCATACATAGTTTTCTTATTTTTGTAATTTCTTTAAAAACTCAGTTCTTCTTAAAATTCG